TACATATACTATATTTTAAATTTAAAACGAACGATTTATTATTGTATAAAACTATTTTTATAGCATAAAATTTATTCTTAAAATTTTAAAACCGAAGAGAATAAGAAAGAGGTAATATCTAAGAAAACTATGTAAAGAGGTAATGATAAAATGACAATGGCCTGAGAAGGTTGAAAAAGATTGTCTTAATCAAAACTAATTTGAAACTAAAACCAAAAAAAAATAAAAACAAAAAAAATAAATTTGTAAAACATAGAAGACCGTTATTAGGTCAATTTATATGAATAGTCTCAAAGCTGGGATAGGGGTTGTTTACTCAATTCAGCTTTTTTTTTCGCATTATTTTTTGTAAATTAAACATGTTATGAAGGTATAAAACTTCAAATTATATATTGTACTAAAATATAAGAATCAAACTTAATATAAATATTATAATTTATAATAATCAATGCAAGTTAAATTAAAACTACATCCCTACATTTGTGGTATTNTAACAAAATTTTAGAACATTTTGGAGTTGAAAAAAATGAAACAACCACAAATTTATGTGAAAACAATTCTACTATTAAATTGTCCAAAAATTTTGTCTTTAATGGAGGTAGTAAATACATTGCAGTGAGGTTTTACTTTCTTAGAGTACTTGATCACGTGATTCAATTGAAATATAATACTCATAAACAAGTGGCTCATATATAATGACCAAAGTTGTGAAACTTGAACAGTTTGAGAAGCTTTGACAAATGCCTGACATAGTTGACATTACAGTAAGCTAGAGCTTAATGGAGAGATTATTAGCTTATTTATTCATTTTTTTAATTATTTTCTCATTTTGAACTAGTCTCTCAATCAGCTATTTTTTAGTTGTGTGTGATCTATTTTGTATTCATTTAGTTTTCAAGTGTTCCATGTAAAGGCTTATAAAAGTCATCTTCTTTTCAAATAAGATGTAGAATATTTTCTATCTCCAAGCACCGTGTGATGTAAGTCTTTAACAACTTCATTTTTCATTGCTAGCTCCCACTTAGTATATTCATCTTCCTAAAGAGGATAAGAGAATAGAATAACTCACAATTTATTAAAACTTTACAATAAATCTTTTATTAATTTCCAATTACATCCCTTAATTAAGTAAGGATGGATTTCCAACACAACATTCTCATCTAAACTAAATGAAGCTGTGATTGATAGATTCATTATAACATTGAAAGCTATATATATCGTATAGTTTGTCTAAGAATGAGTTTATTAGACAAATATTCTACATTTAACAAGGGTGTTTAATAGTCACTAAAAAATATGTAAATATGTAAATATTAAATATATCAAATATAACTATTAGAATTATAAGAGATAAGAATAATTTTTTTATGTTTTTATTTAGCATATTATGTTGAAAATTTTAATTTGAGCTCTCTCAAAATTATTTTCGAATTAGAGTAATTAAGTATTC